TCAGGTGTCAAAGCATCATGGGCTGACTCAACACCTGTTAGAACAGATTGACTGGAGCTCAAACTTGGGGGCGACCTAGTCCCATTATCGGCTTGAGCAACACTGGGATACTGTAGGCTAGACACAGCTGCCTGCCTATCGCTGGCCGCAGCGGCTGCAGCGTTCAGATCTCCATTCATCTCATCGTCTGTGCGTCCGAATAATTGGTACCACCATCGGATCTCCTTGAGTTTTGGTAGAATTATGCGCTCCTGGCCCTTGATATGATCATTGATTGTGGGGTCATAGTCAGGGTTAGTGAATTCTGGTTTCCGGCAAAGGAAATAATCCCAAACAGAGGATGTTCTCTCAGCAGCCCGAGCGTCTTTCCTCTGCTTCTCTGAATTGTACAGGAAGGTTCCATACTGGCATGAGTATAGGTGATATAGCAAGCGCCTCAAAAAGCGCTCATTAAACTCGAACCTAGTTTTGTGTTGTCTCTGGAGCTGATAGACGCAATCGAGGAACTGGTGAAAGACGGGGCTCACCATCTTTGGTGAGGTCGCTTCTTCTTTGACAACTTCGCCAGATGCGAGCTCACTAATTGTATCAGCGTCTCCGTTATCAGCGGAATTCTGATTGAAGAACCGTTTTGCACCACTTAGTACATTTTGGAATGCGTCACCGCGGCCATCATTTTCGCCAGGCTGAACGGTGGCCCCTGCAAACGCATCCTTTTGTGTAACAAACCAATCCTCATGGCTTAAGTGGCCAGAACGTAATCTGAACATGTGCCCGAAGGAGAGCCAGTCCTTTTCAACAAGGACGATGAAGCCTTCGATGGTACGGTAGAATGGATCGAGCATGATTTGAGACAAGGCACTCAGTTGGCTTGTTCGATCCCACCCGTCGGAACAATGGATAAGTACATTTGCAGAATTGATCCCAACCTGTCTAGCGACAATTCCAGAGCCATCCAAAACGTCATGAATATGTTTTAGCCAGTCGCTTTGCCGCAGAATTTCGCGGTTGGGTGGTAAGGGGGAGATGTCGGCATCTTTCAAAGCGTCCACCACTCTGTTGAGGGACTTGCGCATAACATGAATATTTTCAATATTGAGAAAGATCTTTTGGGCAAATTTGTATCGCTCAATATTCTCAGAGCCCATGCCTCCGAGTTGGTTGATCACCGCATTGACCTGGGGCCGGGCGTCGACAATCAGATTATTCTGTTGCGCCCCGTAAACCAACCTCTTGCCAGTCGCTTCATCGTAGAAGGTTGTTGACTTTGAAATAAGTTCGTCTTCAAAACGTTCGGTGTCAGATAGCTCTAACTGTGGCTGAGGAATCTCATCAGAAGAATCGATCTGGCTAGACACGGGTGTGCTGTCTTCCGAGGAAGGGTTCAAGGATGCCGAGAAAGACGCAGCGACCAACTTCTCATCCTGGATATTTGTTTTACGTAGAGGCCCCGCAAAAGGCTGAGAACTCCGGGTGATTGTACAGTTGTTGACAGAATGTATATAAGATAGTGCTGGGATCCGATGGCGCGACCTGAAATCTTTGGCATATTTGAGGACGTTATCCGAAATTTTCAAGGGAACCACCAGAACACTGGGATATGTGTCGCAGAAAGAATAGTCTTGGTTGATGGTGGTAATCCTCCAACCCTTGTCCGGGAGCTTCTCGCTGATACCCTGCCTCCGGAATTCGGCCTTCGCATCGTAAAAGTTCCACCCATTGATGTCCCGCTCCAGCTTCAGAGGCTTATGATTGAAAGCGTACAGCTTCTCGATAGTGCCAAGCTTACATGTTCGAGACTTGACGAAGTTCAACGTTTCGCGGGCGGTGTCGTTGTCGGGGAAGTTGAAGGTTACAAACGAGAAGTCCCGACATCGTACCCGGATCGAGGGAGCTTGTCGAGAGGTGAGAGGGACCGGCCGGAAAACGCAGTATGTGACCATGGGGAACGGAATCCATTTCTCACGGGTCTTGGGCGGCGTGCTGGCATCCTCGGTAGGCGGCGTAACTGGCGCGCAGAAGACGAGGTGGAAGTCGGTCAACCGGAGGGTTCCATCGGTCGGCTGGCCCCCGTAAATGGCTTGAACGCCTTCAACTACCTGATGAACATTTAGTACCAGTCCGTACTCGAAAATTAGGGCCAAAGGGAGTCGAAGCGGACCTTCCGGGCTTCCATCGTCGTGGTCTTCGCCGCCTCAGGGAATGGGGGTTGAGGCTAAGCGGGGCGCCGTCTGTGAGAGCTTCAAGAACTACTAGATAATGCAACTCTGTCTCTTGAATGATGTCCGTGAGAAAGAAATGGTCGACGTAATGATATGGACTCGAGAAGATCGCAGGACGGCAGCTGGCTCTTCAGATGCTGTTGTTGGGAGGGCCGATAAGTGGGAAGCCAAGCCGATGGGTGAGTGACGGGTCGCTCTGGGGAAAGCGTCACCTGTCTTTCAAGATGGGGAATTGCTTGGGTTTCGGTACATGGTTGGGCAGAGGCTAAAGCGGCAGGAAGAAACGGATACGCAGCCTATCGACGATGCGCAATAGGGCAAAATTTAGATTGATCAGAGCATCCCTGGTGCATTCCTTGTCTTGTTGAAGTATCGCGGGAGGTGCCAGCGCGGGGCTGAAGGGCTGCCTTGATTAAGCTGAGCAAGCAGCCCAAAAAAACGTCAGTCGCTCACAGCTGCTTTGGCCTGTGACAGGGGCATATGATCTGGGGGCTGCTTAGAGGTACCCATCTGCCTGAGCAAGTCCCCAACACTTGTTAGCCACTCGTATGCTAGTCAAATGAGTAAGCTATACAGGAGAAATGCGCATGTGATATCTAATTGATATCTAATTATGCAAGCAGTTTTCCATCAGGCACCTATCTCCTTGATTCGCATTGCTCTAGCTGTGATACATCATACATGTGTTTTCGCTCTTGGTGATCGTACATGACGATCCCGGTTCCCACATGGGCCATTGCGACAGCTCCTTATCTTATCTGTCGACGTTCCGCTAAAACAGTTTCTCCGACATCCTTCCATTGGTTCTGCGCACGGGCCATCTGCCCTCAACAGCACATTTTAGTGGGCACTAAAAAGGGTTGGAAAAGTGTTAGGGCTCAACCCACATCGAAAAATTGAGGGACGAGACTCTATACTCCAATACAGCGTGCATCGCGATAATCACCCACCCACGACTCTGTACGCCCAGCCCATCCCAAGTTCGCAGCCAATTCCACCGGCCGACACTCAAAAACCATACAAAATGGCCCACCCCGGTACTCAGATGTGAGTAAAGACTCCCGCAGCAGAATGCTTGCCCGAACAAACACATTTCAAAACCCCCACCACCATCTCAATGATGGCTTCGAAAAAAATATCTTTGAGGAAACTCAGGACGGGTCGAGTCTATAGATGGACAATTCTTGCTAACTTTCCTCTTCCCACAGCTCCAAGAGGAGAAAGTTCGTCGCTGACGGTGTCTTCTACGCCGAGCTCAACGAATTCTTCCAGCGCGAGCTCGCTGAGGAGGGCTACTCCGGCGTCGAGGTCCGCGTCACCCCTACCGTCACCGACATCATCATCCGCGCCACCCACACCCAGGAGGTCCTCGGCGAGCAGGGTCGCCGCATCCGCGAGCTCACCTCCCTCATCCAGAAGCGCTTCAAGTTCCCCGAGAACTCCGTCTCCCTCTACGCCGCCAAGGTCCAGAACCGCGGTCTCTCCGCCGTCGCCCAGTGCGAGTCCCTCCGCTACAAGCTCCTCAACGGCCTCGCCGTCCGCCGCGCCTGCTACGGTGTCCTCCGCTTCATCATGGAGAGCGGCGCCAAGGGCTGCGAGGTCGTCGTCTCCGGCAAGCTCCGCGCCGCCCGCGCCAAGTCCATGAAGTTCACCGACGGCTTTATGATCCACTCCGGCCAGCCCGCAAAGGACTTCATCGACAGCGCCACCCGCCACGTCCTGCTCCGCCAGGGTGTCCTGGGTATCAAGGTCAAGATCATGCGCGGTGCCGACCCCGAGGGCAAGGCCGGTCCCCAGAAGACCCTCCCTGACGCCGTCACCATCATCGAGCCCAAGGAGGAGCAGGCTGTCGTTCAGCCTGTCAGCCAGGACTACGGCGCTAAGGCCGCCCAGGCCCAGGCTCAGGCTTCTCAGGATGTTCGTGCGGAGGAGGCTGAGGCCGAGACCGAGCCTGCTGAGCAATAGTGAGTGCTTGGCATGCTAGGTTGTTGGGAAGATAAAGGGGGGTCGATTTCGATTGAGAAAGGCGGTGATGGTCTGCTCAGGCGTCAATTGATCATTTGCATCTGCTAAAGGGCTTTGGGAGGGTTTCACATTTGCTCGTCATGGTAAACAGAGCCTTGAAATGAGACCCAAAATAAAAAACAAAAGTTACCACCATTGCAACTACGACAGTAGGCACTTGTGAAATGATGTTGTCTTCGAACTGATGATCCGACGGTGACTGATTTCATCAGTCCTTAATTCATGCGTGAGCTAGTACAATTATGTGTGTATCGAATTCAAAACCTGCCGGCGCCAGCTTTCAAAGCCCCCTCCCATAGTAAGACAGATATCTCTCTTGCCCCCAAGCAAAGGAAATTCAAAGAAGCTGTTGCCTATAAATCGACTCCATTCTGCGCACCAATATATCATACAAGGAATATATCTCCTTTGATGCAGAAAAACCCCCAAGTAAACGCCGATGCACCGAACCATCCCCTCCTTCCCTTTCTCTAGACTCCTCATAGCAGTGATATATGAGCAAGAACGTACCAGCTTTTTTTGCTCTCGAATGAATAGGTCGGAAGCTTCGACAAGAAACATAAAAATCGTAATTCACAGCTCTATCAATGCCGGTGAACGGTGATGAAAAGACATGACGGGTGTGCAAATGGCTATGTTGCGGACCAAACTATCGCGAGTGGATTTTGCCTGATCGTTTCGTCAAGGCTTGATTGGATTAGATGGTTTTATATCTCCAGCTTCTTTCGGCCATTCGTCTTGTTGAAATCATCTTTACCGCCGATTATTCAATTCGATGTCATTGGTGCGGCGAGCACCGCCACGGGCATGGCCATTGGCTTGGCCGCTGGGTCGACGGTCCTCCTCGCTGTCTTCCGCGAGATCATTTAGCCCAAAGCCCGCAGCCTCCTCTTCATCGTACGCCCGTATCAGGCCGTCTCGATCACCATGCTGGCTGCTGATACTGTGGCGGCGGTCACCACTTCTCCTCGACTGCATACTCAATCGAGAGACCATATCTGTGCCCGTGGTGTCTTCTCCACCCCTCGAAAGCCTTTGGCCATTGGGATCGCCTCTTGAGAGATTGAGCAGGTACACTCCGGCGAATGTTATGAGGAAGCCGCAAAGCAGAGACAGAGTGTTGACTGTGTCCGTGGTATTGAAACCACTGAAGAGGATGAACGATGCTGACAGGGTTGCGGTGGTGAAGGTGACGTAGTACAAGGGATTGACGCTGAAGGGACATGTGTTAGCTGTGTTTCAAGGCAAAGAAACGAGTGCAAGAGCAATTTAACCTACATGTTTGAAGGGAAGGAAGCGAGTGCCTTGTTGAAGTAGTTCATCTGGGTCAGAATCGCAACAGCCGTGACGATGATGAAGACATAAGTCGAGGGGTGCGTAAATTGATTGGAGCCAGCGAATGTGAGTTTGAGAGCAATGCCGAAAGCCTTGACCGACATGACGGAAATGGATCCTACAGTCGAGCAGATGGACAGGTAGACGAGTGCATTCTTCTTGCCATGTACCGGGGCGACTCTGTAGATCATTATGACGGCGAATACAACAACAAAGGCGGCGTAGAGAAGGAATCCTATGTTCATCATTAGACAAGAGGCCGAGGGTGCGCTTCAGGGAGCGGTCTGGCATACCTGGCTTGATAGCGTACTGCAAGATCTGATCAACAGTCTTGATGTCTTCGTCGGGAGGTGCATGGAGAACAATGACAACTGCACCAATTAGGCAAATGGCACTTCCAAGTTTCCCCAAAGTTCCTAGTTCCTCTTTCAAGAAATATGATCCCAGCACGGCGCCTACGAGAACACTCAGAGCACCCAGAGGGGTGACAAGAATGGCTGGCGCAAAGGCATATGCTGCAAAGTTGAAAACCTCTCCCGAGCCCACTGGCAATCTTGTCAGTCTACTTGTTGCGCCAACGAGTATTAGGCCTTGCTCACATAATAAGATACCTGCCCACCACATGGGATTCTTCAAGTATACGAAGCCATCGCCCTCGAAGCCATGTCGCTCCTCTGCCTGTATCAGGCCCTAGGGAATGAAATGCGTTAGTGTCGCGGTTGAGGAGGCTCGATGTCGGCGCTGAATCGCAGCTTCGTCTCGTAGGGAGAAAGCAAACCTTCTTCGTAATGACAAAACTGGTGCCTGTAGTCGTCTCGTTAGCATGCTTGCAAGAGGGCTAGCTGCTCTCAACCTGTGGGCAACCTACCAATAGTTACTGCTGACGTTATAGCAAGCGCTAAACCGATGTATCTACAACCGATGTATCAGCCACCATGTCCTCAGGAGTGCTCGGGATCGATGCGCCTTGGAGGAAAGTCGGGGTAGGACATCGCGGAGGGGGCCCGTACTTGTCGTCAACCATTGTGAGCATTGTGAAATAGTGCGATCGGTCGGACTAGAAGAAAGCGGCCGGCGACAGAGCCGGCGAGTGACTTTATGTGTTCAAACGAGCGTATGGTGGACAGGAGCTCGCACCGGGCGAGGAGGCGTGCTATGAGCGTTAAGGAGAGTCGATTAAGGGGTTCGTTGGATCGTTTCGTGTCGTCTTCAGCCGGCGCTCGCAGATGGATGGTGGCAGGCTCTCGTCGTGACTCTGTACTTGCTGAGGACAGTCCTGGCCTATGTCGCGACAGGGTACTTGCGGTACGGTCCACTGACAGTTGGCAAGGCAGATATCAATGCTCGCGAGGAAATCAGAGCCCGCTTGATGCTGTGTGCGTGCGATAGGGAAAAAAAGCGCCAGGACACTAAGGGGTCAATCGAGAAGACGCAAGGTGTACTTGGGCTTGATGTGAGTGGTCGGATGAAGGTGGTGGCTGGAGTGGTCTGGAGTCAAAGTCAAGTCACTAACGATTTGTGCCAGTTGCCAAACACGGATTTTCAGGGCACATCCAAAGCAATAGTCCCGTCCGTGGCGGCAGCTGAGCCTAAGAGCAGGTGCCTGGACAGAGCCCTCGGTAGCAGTCGCCAGCGCAGCCCACCCACCTGCTCTGGGCCTAAAGAACCTACCGGCGTGCTAGCGCTAGGGCCGCCAGGTACTGCTACAAGGGACGTGCTCATTGGAGGAGGCGTTCCCTCCCGTCCCGAAGTACAGATACCGGGGTAGCCTACCTCCCATCGGATCCCCTTCTTTGAGTGGCTGCGTCAGGGGATCTCATCAGGGGAGGGAGCGAAAAAAGCTCGACATTGCTCAGCCTCCTTGATGGACCCTCCTTTGTCGTGTCTGGCAATCTGGGTCCTGGCCTCCCTTGCAATCGCCCATCTCGCAACTGCTCCGTCACCTCACTCACCATCTCCATCCCCACCAAGGTCCGGTTTCATGTCCACGTAGCCTGCCAGAGCAACCGCCCACCCCTAGATACGATCCCCGCCCCTCCAGCAGAGTGGGTTTGATCAAATGCTCCCGATGGACAGACGCGTGCATCGTGTTTTATTAGTGACCTAGTGTAGTGCTTAGCCTGCACGACAAACTTTTCTGACACGAGGTGACGAGTACGTACTGCCAGGCTGCTCCGTTGAGTGGGTAAGACGGAGTAAGTACCCAGCAGGCTATAGCCCCATCTCCGTGGAATGGCCAATGCGCTTTGATTGCGCCCTCGTTCTCAGCACGATAGAATTCGCCAAATAGAGGCATCACACGTGTAGTTCGTATACTGGCCGTTCGTGGCTGAGAGCAGAGACCTTGGTTTCCATCGTGACATACTGTCTTTTTTAACCCTACAGGCTGTCATCTCAGCCATTCACAAATGGAACATACATGCATGCCATTTAGAATTCGGAACTTCTTTTTCATTACCTAGATATGGCACGATGTTATATAGGAGGCAAACTACCTTATCCCAAGCATATCTCGTCCCTCACTCCAACCTACACTACCTAAGTAAACTCCGTTTTCAAGGAATATGATCTGTCTTGTCGATGTGTAAGCGGCACAAACAAGTGAAGACCATGAAAAAGCAAAAAGAAGAGAAGAACCAGGAAGGGAAGGGCGCCCTCACGGCACCCCTCTCATTACTTAAAAATCCGTACAACGACCTTTTTTTTTTCCTCCAACGCCAATGCTCAATCAAATGTGATTCACCAACCATAAGATAACCATGCTGAAGGCTTGATTCCCGCGAAGTCGATGATTCTGCAGCAGTGAAGTCACTGGAAATATGTACCTGTAAATGTGGTACCATGTAAAAAGGGTGTTGAAATGACAAGCCCCGGAAATTGCGGGTACAGACTGTTGCTTGTTGTCGATAGAAGTCAAGATATACTGCCTGAGAAAGCCAGAGTCGCATCCTTAAGGGCTTCAGAGTTAGTACGTTCTTTCACGTCTTACCTGCCACCAGTGACAATTTTATATAGTCGAATTCAGTTGTTGCTCCAAACATCCTCAACCCATCCAGGGGGTCACCTCGTTACTTTCGTGATGTAGAGGACGAGGAGTGATACTCCGTTAGTAGAGGTCCCAAGCAAGGGCAAACCAGCATCTCTCGCTGTATCGGTTTTGGGGAGAAGGGAAATTATTGCTTTGGTCAGTCAAAATTAGTTTGTCAGAAAGTCTTTTCAAGAAGACCGGCGCCGTTTGGCATCTATTCACATGTCAGTAACCTAAACCCAAAGCCAATAAGGAATTGTTTGCCATACCTGAGTTTTCATCCGCATCCTGTGGGTCGGTCGGATAAGACCGTTTGGCGGACGGTGTTGCGGACTCGCCTCCATTGGCAATTTCATTTTCTTCGGCTTCGTTCCAATCAATCTCAGCCAAGTCTACTTGGTACTGATCATCATTCTCATCTTGAGGGACTTGGTCCTCAAGAAATCTTACATGCTGGTCCTCGGTCTCATCAGCATGCAAAGTATTCGTCGTTGTGCTGCCAGATGGCTCGTCGTCGAATTCTCCCTCGGCAATATGTTGGGATGTGACTGGTGCGTCATCGCCTAGTCCGAAATCAACCTCCTCATCTTGATCAATCACTTCAACATGTGAGTTCGCATTGATAGCAGAATCGCTCTCAATATTGGCTATATGATTCGTTTGTTAGTATTTGCCAGGGTATACTCACAGAACAAGGACGTAACTTACAAGTTGAGGGTACGTTCGTAGTTTCTTGGATCATCGGCTGATCAAATGGATTGGCAACGGGTGACTGTTCGAAATCGTCGTTATCGGTGATGTGGTCAGGCTCTTCGGCTTCCTGTGTATCAATGTAGCCAGTTGCCGAGTCGGGGTGATCCCCTTCCTCTTGGGCATGGCTGGCTTCTGCTATATCAATTTCTTCTTTGTTTTGCTCCTCGATATCCTCGTATGTGACTTGCGCTTGATCATCTTCAACACTTTCATATTCGTCAAGGAGCCCATACTCCTCAGAGCCTCCCCAAGCCTCCGGTTCGGTGCTAGTAGGAATACGAGGGTTGAAAATATGTATGACCTCTTCCAGGCCCTGACCAGATGCTGCACTTTCTAGTAGGGCCTCCCACCGCTTGGGGGGATTAGGCTTCGTGAACAGATAAGTGTAAAGTGTACGAGTACCATCAGGGTCCTGGTTCTTAACAAGCATGTCAAATATTTCCAATATCTGGCGCAAGGTGCAAGTGCATAATAAGTCATGGGGGTGTGACTAGACGGGTCATTAGTATGAAAACGTTGGATAATGTAAAAGACAGCAACATACCTCAGCATATTCCAGACCAAGCTCGTCAATCTGGAAAACTAGATCATCTTCTGTGCTAAGTTCATTCGCGAGTTCGGTTCTGAAGCTTGCTAGTAGCCCCTCGATCGTATCATCGAGAATAGAGATCTCCGCAAAAAAGCCCCCTGATGACAGAGAGAAAAGAGGAAATTCCTCTCCCTTGTATTGCACGACGACTGCTGGAAATTCTGGAGTTTCGTTCTCGGTACCCTCATTATCAGTACCAAACTGATCGTGGTCCATGCCAGTCTCCTGATTTGAATGCTGTGTCTCGACCGCTTCGGTTTCGTCTGTGGTGCTTTCCGAGTCTTCATGCGGGGTTGGCGATTCTTGTGTCTGCTCACCTTCGGCGGTATTCTCCTCTGCGGCAATGAATCCTTCGGCTGTTTTATCAGCCTCCTCCGCCGCCGCCTCCTTAGCTTGGGGTTCTTCTTCATCCTCCCAAGTAATCTCGTCGTCCAAATCATGAGATCCCATTTTCCCTGAGTCCGAAATGTCACCCACCGGCTGTTCGTGAGAATGGTCAAGACTTTGATGGGCGTGATCTTCGTCCATCAAATCATCGTGGACATCAAGCTCCTTTACACTTTGACCTTCCAGGTCGTGTTCATCAGCATCGCCCTCATCATGAGACGTAGGTTCGTCACCACCAAAAGCCAGCACCTCTGCACCAAGGTCATGGCTGTGGTCCTCATCCTTATCGTAATCCTCGATTTCATGGTTTTCATACCCTTCAGTGTCGGCATTGTCTAATTCAGGGGTGTGAGGATGTTGCTCGTTGCTCGAGTCATGATTTTCGACTTTGTCATAACTATCATGTTGGATAGATTGATGCTCATCATGAGAAGACCCATTCACATCGTGAGTATCAACCGTGATACTAGACTGGTCCAAAGTCTCGGTTTCCAGCTCGCCCTGGTCTTGTTCGTAGGGGAACTCTTGCTGGCCTTCTTCATCTCCCATCAGACCTTCAGCATCTCCCATTTCAGTCGTATCTAAGCCAAGGTCTCCGGCATCGTTTTCTTCCAGTGATCCATGAGTTTCTGGCTTGGCATGGATGGTATCTGTATTTGTTTGCCCGATGGAATCCTCATCTGGAAATGGAGCATCACTCCTCTTGATCGCAGAAATGTTCTCATGCAAGTAATCGTCCTCATAATCAATCAAATCGTCATCTCCGGCCAGTCCACTAGAACCCAGTGGCTGGGTTATATCGATATCCAGCTCGATATCAGTCATTCTGGCACCCGAGCCACGTTGTAATCCCTCAAGCGCCGTGGTTTAATTTCGCAGATTGCCGCGTCGATAGTCAAGGAGGTATGCGAGATGTCACAGAGAATACTGATAGATTTGTCCAGTCTCGAGATAGAAAGTCGTTTGCGACTCGGTCGGAAACGATGGCGCGTTCAAATTAGGAGTGGCGCGTGCTGGATTGGGGTCGGAAAGTGAAACTTGAGAGGCAACATCTGGTCCGTATAAAAGGGAAAGCAAGAATGGGGGCGGCAAGTAGATGGTTGGAGAACTCTCAACGAAAGTTACGTTTGAAGAAACTGGTAAAGGATCCCTGTAGGCAACAGCCAGAAGTCAAGAGACTCTTTGTTCGTTGGTCGCGGCCCAAGTCTGTTCTGTCATAGCCTGGAGTTGTTACCAGGTAGAGGACCCACAGGAGAGATGCCACACTAGTATGGCAGAAATCGACTCACCGCCTTCCTCATCTGAGTCAACCCCACCATCCAGGCCAGAGTGTCTCGAACTCAGAGCAGCTGATGCCTGCAACTGGCTGGCGCTGATCACTTTAGGGTAGGTACATAGGCTGGCACTGGCCATGGGAGCTCAGTGGCCATTCAAGGGGAGGGACATGTCAGAAGTGCTATTGCGACCGCCTCCTTGTCGTCGTTTGCCTCCAACCACCACCAACTCAGACCAAGACTCTAGCGGACAACAGCGCTTTCAGCAACATGGTATGCTTTTTATTTTGAAATCCGTCTCTATTTTTCTCGTCCAAATCTTAATTGACTGTGTGCAGGTCGTTCTCGCTGCTTCGATATGTACCCGTGGGGGGAAAGCTGTCCTCTCCAGGCAGTTTCGAGAGATGCCACGATCCCGCGTTGAGGCCCTGCTTGCTTCGTTTCCCAAGCTTGCCGACAGTGGCACACAGCACACGACGGTCGAACAGGACAATGTCCGATTTGTATACCAGCCTTTGGATGAGCTTTACATGGTGCTCATCACCAATCGCCAATCCAATATCCTGCAGGACATCGATTCGCTACATCTGTTTGCCCAGGTCGTCACCAGCACCTGCAAGAGCTTGGACGAAAGGGAAATTGTCAAGAATGCATATGATCTCCTCAGCGCATTTGACGAACTGGTTACACTTGGTTACAGGGAGAACCTCACATTGAGCCAGATCCGAACGTTCTTGGACATGGAAAGTCACGAGGAGCGAATCCAGGAGATTATCGCACGGGTATGCATCTTCTCATTGTACTATCTCCTTACATACGCCGCTTACAAACGCTATAGAACAAAGAGCTGGAAGCTACTGAGGAGCGGAAACGGAAGGCCAAGCAACTCGAGCTCCAACGAAAGGATGCCGCCCGCAGTGGACGAGGCAATGTTCCTCGAACGCCTGTCTACCCTACCTACACGACGCCTACGAGACCAGCCGAAACTACCAACTCCTACGAGGCCGAGAAGAACAAGACTTACACCAAGTACGTGACATTTTCTTTCCTTCGATTCATGGCTTATGATCCTGGTCGTTTACTTACGTTGTCTTAGGCCAACTGCTCCCAAGGGTAAGGGCATGCAACTGGGCAAGAAGTCCAAGACAACCGACATGTTCGAGCGAGTTCGCGGTGATATGGGTGGGGAGATTGATGAGAGTCCTCTCGTTGTTCCTGCTGCTGCCGCCGCCGCAGAGCCGGCGAGCCACCATGCATCCGCCCTTGATCACGATGCTATCCATGTGACTATCAACGAAACAGTCAGCGCGAAGCTTTCAAGAGAGGGCGCCGTCAACTCTCTAGCTATCAGTGGAGATTTGACGCTTCGAATTTCCGATGCTAGCTTGACCAAGCTCAAGCTTGTGCTGCATGCTGTTCCCTCGCATGGCGCCCAGTTCCGCACCCACCCCAACGTCGACAAGAATCTTTTCAATAATTCCAAGATCATCCAGATGAGCAACACGGCCAGAGGTTTCCCAGTCAACAATGCTGTCGGCGTTCTGCGATGGCGAGCAACCCCCAAGGTGGACGACTCGAGCGCCTGCCCCATCACATTCACTGTCTGGGTAAACCAGGAGTCTGACAAGTACAACATGACAATTGAGTATGAATTGACTGGCGGAAGTGAGTTGAAGGACGTCAGTGTCGTCATTCCCTACCAAGGTAGTGAACCCATCGTGTCCAGCTTTGATGCTTCCTACGAGGTATCAGGTGATGCTCTGGAATGGCATGTGGGCACTGTGGATGAAGAGAACCCCAGTGGTTCCTTTGAATTCGAAGCCGAGTCTCAAGATGAGAACGATTTCTTCCCCATGAACATCACATTTAACAAGACGACACCATATATTGATATCGACGTAAGACCAACCTTGAACAAACACCGATGCAACGAGCTCGTGAAACTAACGATTGATTTTCTCCTAGGTCTCATCGGCGTCCTTGCTGGAAGAAAACGAGGATGTGACTTTCTCCAAGGAGATTAAGTCCCACGCCGACAACTTCCTGATCGAATAAACAGCAGATTATGCGAGAGTTCTAGGTTTTGGAGATGGTCTGGTAGGTTATACTATAGAGGGTGTCTGTCTGCTGTGGGGGTATTGGGAATCATTCGTCGCAGCAACCTAATGGCGCAATGACATGTGGTATGAAAATTAAGATGAGATTAGTGTGACTTTTCGCGAGAACAAGCAAGAAGTGGCTATTTCCACTGAGTTCGCGAGAGGATAATGTCATGATATTGCTGGTGAAACTTCGTGTCTATTCCAGGTGTTCAGTGCTTTTTCAACGTGTAATGCTTACCTAATAGGTACCCAATACGCAGAACAGCAGGCAACTGAATACAGTGCGCCTAATAGCCATTCCGAACTGTGCTCTCACAACACACCAACCTTATCAGACGATTCAGACAAAATAAACATTCAAAAGGAAGGCCTTGGAAAGAAATTACGAATGGCATGCGCCATTTGAAGGCGGATTGGAACACAGCCAGCGAGAGAGCGAATGCACCATGTCCCGGACGCTCTCCCTCTTGAGTGAGGTTGAGTTCAAGCATCGCGTCTCAGATGGCTATCCGGTGACTTGCCCTACCCTTGATCTCTCGACCACTTGGGATAGTAGTGGGAAGAATGTCTATATAAATCGGCCTCCTGGTCAGATCGTATCAAAGATTCACCAGGCTGGGCGACTGGGAGTCAAGCCTCCAGAAGCCGTGTCCACAGCCTGGAAAGCAGATGGTATGTGAAGGCGCGTGACCAAGTACCTCCCAACAGAAATTTGACAGAATCATTGACCAACCTTGATATCCCAGGCCAATTCCTTGCCATTGGCTGGAGCGATGGCGTGGTGAGGCTGATGGGCCTTGAGAGCAACAAAACCGCACATCATATTGAGATCTGCCCTGGTACTGAGGCCCGCATTGTTCACATCGGATGGGCTTGCAGCAAGACCTCTACGGATGATGACAAAGAAACATACTTTAGGCCCGCAGAGAAGAAAACGAAAGATTTGCCCCGGGAACTCATGTACCTGGAGGTCGAAGCGGCTTTGCCTAAGATCAGCCCGTTACCAAGTAGTAGCGCAGGCCCTGGGTAAGCTCAACGCCCGCCCTTCAATCCCATGGGCTGTGACTGACCTGGAACCGTAGCGAGGATGCTACTGTATTCACCCTCAGAACTAGCATGGACTTTCTGTTCCAGGCCCCTCGGCATGAAGACTACGATTTCGTCAACGTCATGGTGGTTGGCACTGATGACGGCCGGGTCCATCTCAACATTTGTGATTCTTTCGCTATAGGATCATTTTCGTGTCCATCTTCAAGCCTAGCTCCATATACATCGCAGCTTCTCAAACACACGTCGAATCCTCAGATCTCAACGCACACGCTGCTTGTGGCAGACAAGCTTAAAAAACCAAGCCAAGTCGACTTGATACCTACAGACCTGCCCTTTCTTTCTTCGTCGCCTATCAACCTATCATTCCTCACCACCAAGCTAACAACCATGCAGAAACTGCTCAGGTATCTCAAACAGACCCAGCTTCACATGCAGACTGAATGGAAGAATACCCGAGAACTGCCTGGCAAGTTCCTCCGTAGTGTTGAGGAAGATCTCAAGGGGTCAGACACGGGACCGCGATCCATTGTCCCTGCTCTCTACCACACAGTCGTAACTGGCCATGCCTACGAGCCTGTCCGGGAATGGCTTGTCGATACCCTTGCCGAGAGAGTAAGCCTTCCTTCTTATGCCTTCAATAATATCAGGGGCCACCCCCTTTTACTATCAACGCTAATAACTAATGCCAGGGCCATAAACGATGGGATAAAGCTGTCGTGTCCGGGCTGGAAGGTCTTCGAAGCCTAATTCACGAGAACTTTCTCCCTGTACTGGAGCGCTGCTCCATCATCCTCAGCCGACTTCGAGGTCTAGCACTCTTTTATAATGCCAAAGAAGAAATCGGTTTCTCTGCGGTACAGATCACCAAAATAATGGACATTTTCAGCTGCTTGACACTAATTGGGCACAAAATACTCCTACTGGTCATGGATGAATTGGAACACTTCACAGTGTTCTCGAGCTGGCTCCGATCACAGATTGACCGCCTGGCCACTTCCAGTTCCGAGAGTGAAGAGCTCTCTGAAAAGGAGGCGACCACCGACATCGGGAAGGTCCTGACCTACATCGAACAATACCTAGCGAGCAGCCCCCTTCATGTATATCTGGATGAGATTTCCAAGGAAGACTTCACCGCAGATTGGGAGCACATCGACAGCGGTGTAAACCTCCTGGACACCGTGTCAGCTCAGGTAAAGAAACACGAGAAAGGCCAGCAGGCAATGAAGGCTTTGCCTCACGTCGAGTTCCTGGTTGATTACGCCACACACTGGTCAAGCAAGGTCTTTGAGCACATTGCAGAGACCAAGAGGAGGAGTGTGCGTTTCGGCAAGCCCATTTCTCTTTCAATCGATCAGCCTATTGGCATTTATGACTGTCACATCGTTGAAGCCGACGGAGAGGTTTGTTTATCAGAAGCCCATATGACCCCGAGCTCTGTCCGTTTGTTAACCTCAATTGCAGGATGCTATCGTCTTCGTTGCCTTGGCATCGGAAAATTCAAGGTCAAAATGTGAGTATCTTCTAAGCACTTCAAACCCTAGTTCTTCAGAAAGTTCTAACCCAACGAAATCGCTCTTCATTTCAGTGACCATCTTCCGGACACAACTGGACATTGTCAATGGAATCAGCAGAAACATGCCTACTTCCAGGTGCTTGATTGACTTGGGCAACCGAACCCTCGTCGATTTCTCTTTTATGGACGACACGAGCCTTATTTTGCTATGCAAAGAGTCTGGTACGTCAAACATTTCAGCACACCCTGCCATCCTCGTTCTATCTCTCGTTGAGCCTAACACCTTCTCCAGGTGCAACTCCAGTCTTGGTTTCAGTACCATTCCGTCAGCACACAATTCAATACTCACCTTACGACCCAGCCAATTCCTCCGAGATATCCCACGTCCTAAGTGACGGGTTCCCTTCCTTCACCCTTCCAGAGGAGCAGCAGGCAATGAATCCGGTGCGCATGGAGGTCCTCGACAGTAGTGACCTCCACGGGGATATTCCGAAGAGGATATGTCTTTTAGAGAGCAACCTCAGCACATTGCGAACCTTCACCTTGCCAGAGGAAGGATCAATATAAACATTGAGCCTATCACTTAAGTCCATGGCCATTTTAGATAGAGCCTTAGTGTACAAATCACATATGAGTTGAGAAACAGAAATTCGGAGTCAACCCAAACAGCTGCGAGGGAACATTCCGACACAACATGTCAACTTGACAGAGTTAAGTACATATCATATGAGATTCATGTTGCTGGACGTCAAAATTGCATTACCATAGTAACTACCCAAGTTCTTGTTGGGTAGAGCTGCCTGCTATATTTACTCCCTAAGAGAGAGGTTAAAAGTGAAAAGAAGAAAAGCCGAGAACGCCAGAACAGTCAGTGATATAGATCCCGTCCTTTTTGTTGCTGTGAGAGCGCTCCACCCACATTGCCCCGGGGGAAGTCCTCCGTCCTAACTAAAAAAGCTCATCTGTTACGCTTCGTGATGTTGAAAAATTCCGTCAACCCCTCCACCACGGCCTCGACGTTCATGTTCACCAGAGGCATCTTATCATAGGAATCTTCCTTCATAATAGCCACTAGCGCAAGATATCGATCAACCTCACGGAGCATGATGGGCTTCTTGCTGTCATGCAGGACCAGGCAGCTCTCGGCTGTTGAGCAGCCCACCTGGTCCTCGAGCTTGGCATCCCACGGGCCTCCCTCGAGCTTCTTGCGACCCTCTTCGCTGCGGTGCCAAGTGCCATAGACCTCCGTGATGTCAATAATAACATCAATGTAGTCACTGCAGATCTCATATGAAGCCATGTCAGCAGGGGAGCTGTCAGTTGCGATGTAGATCTTGGACAGAACGTCGAAGAGGTAGGCCTTTTCCAGGCGACATGTGCGGCATAAATTCGTAAGCATGGATTCGAGTGTTCCCAGGCGAGGGATCAGCTTCTGGATGACCTTGCTGAAGGCCTCAAAGATGGAATGGTTATAGATGGAAGTAAGGTGAAAAGTGACGGGTGCATTCTCACAGCCATGGTCAGACAGCTCGTCTTGAATACGGATGGTGATATCGCGTTGAATGTCCAACTTGAAGTCATCAGACAAGCCATCGACTTTGTGGATGAAGACTTCAATGTTGATGTTTGGGTATGAGCGCTGAAGAGAGAGGATGGTAGTGTTGAGCCGGGCCACGGCCTCAAGATAGTCGTCTTGTGCATCGATGACCCAGATCAAAGCACCGATCTCGCCAAAGATTGCTTCCAAGTCAAAGCCCGGGTTTTCGAAAATATCGATTTGACCAGGAAAGTCCCAGACTTGGAAATCCATGAATGATCTATAATAGAACCAGTCAGCCAATGCCTTGGAATTGAGCTACCGCGGATATCCCATTACTCACGCCATAGAGTCCTTTTGAATACGAGCGGTAGACTCAAGGAACAGAGTCTCGCTTGGTGGAAGCTTGTGAAAGACGACACTGGAAATCGAAGACTTTCCTGATCTTTGGCAGCGTATCAGCAGTAGGTTCAGCGACATTAGAGTACCTTCTCTTGCTTACCGTCTCTGGCCCATCAGCAGCAGTCTAGGTTTGCCCTTTGGAGGCACGACTGCAGCTGGATCGTCTGGCTTCATCCCATCTTTTGGGGGAGCCCCGGGAACGTTCTGCTCAAAATAACGCTGAAGACTTAGCTGCGCTGCACTTGTATTGGGTCTTGTCAGGTCCAGACGAGGCTCTCGAGCCTCGTCCTTGGCCGGAGGCTCATTCGAGTAATATGACGGTTGAAGAGACATGGCTCAAAGGGAATGTTGGATTCAAAGGGTAACTGCGGTGAATGTGTTTCTTGTAGTGAATATATGTGTGGGATTATGGACGGGGGTATGTAATCAAGCACTCGCAAGACCAAGTTCCTGCCTCCTGGATATATAGAACCTTGAGGACAATCTCGCCAGACTCCCGGGAGAGTGGTAACAGAGCGACGGGCGGCCTGTCTTGCGAGCCTGCATCACCTACACTCCCATATCCGACAGCTGATAGTCCAATACTGAACAACAACACGGCCGGAGCTGGAGGCGTAAGCAGCTAGCCCTCGTTGCCCTGGGTGGGATCAACAACAGGCGGGATCGCACTGCCAGATCACCGCACTGGGGGGGTCCGCCGTCCTCCTTGCACCAGTTACGGATAGGCACAGGGTCGAAACAATTGCCCGCAGGAGGGAAACCGCAGGCTCGGGTCCAAGGTCGTTAAATCCACACCGCCACTGTCGCAAGCCTAGGGCACCGCGAGTCAAGGTTGTGCTGGGTTGACCTTGCCAAGGGCTTTTTTCTTCTTTTGCTTTTTCTTTTTCACCCTCTCAGGTAGCCAGGATTTCAGCTTATCCGGAGGTGGTCGCACAATCCCAGCTAAGTGCCAAAGCGTGAGGTGACTGCGAGGCTCCCGGGCTCAGCCGCCTCTTTTCCATGCTGCCCAGGAAGCACGAACCTTATCTCACACAAGGAAGACCTTGTTTGCTTCAGCTTGAGGCATGGTCAGCTGAAGAGGCAGTGGCCACGCAGCTGAACCGGCCACAGCACACAGAGGGCTTGACAAGTATTGTGCTTGGGCAAGGGCGGCATCGCATTGGCCAGCGGAGTTGGTGAGAGAGTTGATCGTAACACCCAAAAAGCAAGTAGCCTGCCAGTGGCGACAGCAGCTGCTTGGGAGGGAGTAGATTGGTACCCAAGCAGCTGGCTGGCAAAAGCAGCCATCCGTCCCGTCCAGGGGAGAAAGGGGGGGGGCGAAAGTATCATCAAACAGATGGAGGGGGACTGTGCGGAGGGCATGTACGTCGTGGGAAGACGGACAGAATGCAAGGAGGGGGGTATTGGTTGAACGCAACGGATAGGAGCAGTAAATCCAGACCGACAAAGAAATCATCCGCTTACCTCCATGCTGACGGTCTGATGAACAACCGCCAGACGCTGTGCACCTCCACGAACGGGCTCACGTTAGGCCAGGCAGCTCTCCCACTGCAGCGGCAAGGCAAGCAGGCTACCGAGTCGTGTTTGCGTGTGCGATCTGGTTGGCTGGCTGGCTGTGCCGGCTCCCAAATTGCGACGAAGGGAGGTGCGAGTGCTGCAGGAACACGATGGAAGAAAACACGGTTGAGCGATCTGCAGCCTATGTCGTAATTCAAGGTGTTGTTGGTGAGAGCGGTTTAGGTAGAGATGGTTCGATTGTAGGTGCCTGTCGCAGCTGGTGATAGCGATTAGTATTACCTGAAGTAGCTGGAGCGAGGAGGGACATGGGCATCAAGTACCTTTACACTGAAACTGTGCCCAGCACTACCAGCTCAGAAGTACCTCACCAGGGTAGGCCCACAGGAAGATACTCGGCAGAAAGGCGGACTTTCAGCAGCAGCACGTCTCAGTTAGTACCTTGTAGGTATTCGATACATCGTACGATGGGCTTTCATCTCATCCAGGACATGAAATGTAACGCATCGGCTGGGCGCAAATAAGCTTATGCCGCCCTTTCTACAGCAGTTTTTCAATTCACGGAATGTAGAAACGCCAGTCACAGCGCAACAATTCCATGGCCTCCACTTCTCCTACCTAACCTATACCACCCACCTCTAGACTTCTAATAACACCTGCGATTTAGAATGAGCTATCATTATGTAAAGTTTTTTTTTCTGATTAAACTAATGTAGTTATTTCTGAATGCCTTATGTTTAATACCCTTCGTGGAATTCTCCTTAACGGGGGTTTGTTGTGAAGAAAGGTACAAATGCCGTACTATCAGATTTAATCTCCCGATTTTGATCTATCTTCCACTTGAGGCTGGGTTGCCTCTTGACTCGGTTTCGATGGCTTATTAAACAATGATGAGATAAATTGAAGACTCCGCTTGTTCTTCAATCCTCTGAGACGTGCCGGAGATCCCACTGCCTCACTTGATGACCGTCTAGGAGGAGGTTCCAGCTCATGTCCTAGCGTATTCCCATTTGTCCCTTCCCGTGGCATTCTCTCCAACCTGGCACCAGCCTTCGTTTCGGAGGGGATCGAGGACTTGGGCGTGTATTGAAAGTCTTCCTTTTTGGAAGTCTAAATACTCATTGTGTTAGCAGAGTCAGAAAACCTCTTACATATTAGCACATTTGCAGAGATGGGATAACTCACTCGGGTTGGAGCTACGGTCCCCTCCTCGAGAGAGTTTAACGTAGCGGCTCCGACGGCTTCCATAATATCCCCGGCGACTGTCCGTCCGTTTCGTCCAAAGCAGTCCTCTGGGACGCTCGCAAACCGTACCAGTCCTCTCGAAGAAGGCACTCTGAGTGCGCATTCGAGGTGGTGTTGCAGCAAGGCCAGGTTTCTCTTGTTCGTCACTGGCTGTACCAGCGATGGAATGGCGTGTATCGTGATGGTATATGCCGGGTCGAAGGTCCCGCTGAAGAGCATGCACACGCCGTGCTCAACGGTCACGGCGACGGACGTGATGGGCCGGTCGTAGCGCCTCGCGATGAGAGATGCAAGGTTGCTCATGAATGCCGCCTCGTCGTTGATCTACCCGCCAAGGTCCCTGCAAGTTAGATCGATTTATTTTGCAACTTTTGAACCTTGATTCATCAAGCTCAAGAAGGGAAGAAAAGAAGATGCCATACAATCACGTTTGTCTTGATCTCTGCCAACACTATTGCCTGTGCCCTCACATTTTCCGTCTCCTCCTCAAGCTCTCGAGGCGACCCAAAGGCTCGCTCAAAGTAGCGGCTTCTGTGCCTTGAGAGCGCAGGTGAAGACATCTTCCTCCGTAATTGTTCGCCTGGGGGTGGCTTTTCCACCTCGCGAAGGAATTTGGCATCGCCCTCCATGACTGGTTCAAGCCGTGTCGTCGTCGCCGATGCCACTTTCCTGAGTGCTGGGTGAGTGAGAGGCTCCGTGGGAGTCACAGGGCGGAGCTGCTCTTTGTGCTGTTGCGTTGGTCGAGGGGGAAGGGGGCGTGACGGAGTGGTGGAAGTGACTGGGTTCGCCATGGCTGGAGGATTCGAATACTCAAAAGAAAGAAAGAAAGGTTAGGGACCGGAATGTGGTGTTGGTGTTGGTGTAGGAGTGAATTTGGGCGACTCGCACATAAGTTGCAAAGCGTACGGATAAAATGTGGCATTTCGCTTCGTTCAATTTTGTTTATCTCTTTTTCCCATTCACCTGGACACAATGGCTGCCACCTGTGGCTCTCTCACTTCTCACTTTCTCTTCGCCTTCGCGTTCACCTTGATCATTGCCCGCTCGGTCAAATCCGGGAAGCACAAAGTGACTCCGACCTGTGTCAAAGAGAGGGGTACGCGATTTTTGACGGACCCATGAGGAATCACACATTAATATGTAGTGATCCAAATAGCCTGCAGACTGCAGACCAGTTTTCAAGATGAATGGACCAGGAGTTGACACGAAAGTCGACATGAAGAAATGCCACTAAAGCATCCCGCAGCAGGAGTCAATACTGCCACAGCCAAGAGATCTTCATTGCCTGCATTTTGGTCACACATAATGCAATGCAGAGTGCGCTTGCTTTGAAAAAGGTGGTGGGTGCATCTGCATTATGTCTGCGTTGTTGAGGTGTAGTACATGCCCGGCTGCCACGTTGAACGAACGGTTGGCAACATGCATACCTGGAAATTGGCAGTTACCACAGTCTGGGCTTTTAGTAGAATCATTCAACAGTTATTACAAAGTTTGATGTCATTCCCTTAGCCCTCGATCAAGCTCACCTACCAGTTGGGTGGTTGGATACCCGGGTATCATAATAAATTGTCAACGTGCAACGTAAGGTCGGCAAACAGTGACCATTTCTACACTCACTCTATGTTGTGCGCTTCTAGAATATACCTGATTAGTTTCCCACCCTTTGGCTATGCAACTAAGCCGAACAGAAAGGTCCCTTAGCCAGCGGATGCGACATCTGGGAAGACATTCCCCAGGGTAGGACTTTATCACGATAGTAGAGATAGCTTGTCCGGTTAGGCATCCAAGTGGGTGACTTGGAGTTGAGACACTCAAACATCAAGCTGCTTATTCTCACATCTGCGACCGGTATTATGAGATTATTGAGTCCTAATAATACATACTTCAGAGATATTAATATATGTATTATTGATTTATTCTATTCTATACTACTAAATATCTTTATTTATTACAGAAAGCAGTCGATCAACAACCGCCCTTCCATCAGGTGTCTCATTTCTCCTGTCACCCACTTGGCATCTTACTACGCATTCTAGATAGGTAGGTAGGTAGCTAAGCCTGCACGCATGAGGAGCATGTAGCCTGGCCTGGTTGGATGCGCTTGCGAGCCTGATTGTCTCAGATCCCGACTGCCCTTCCAGCGTCCTTGGCCATCGCGGTGGCGATGGTCATGATCGATGGCCAACCAGCCCCAACTCAATTGGGGGACCTGGGACGCCAGCAGTCAAGTAAGACCTGGTGCATGCATGCATCCACGAGACCCAAGACCACGAACAACGGTCCTTGGGGCTTGGCCACCGGGAACCCTGGCATCCCTGTCCTATCGGCTTGCGTGCACCCACGGTGCGCACGCGCCAGGACCCTCCCGGATCAATTTATTGAATGGAAGGAAGAGAGAGAGAAGAGGGGAGGCGAGGAGTTCTTGGTGCATGTGGGAGGCCGGAGGCTAAGCCCTTTCCTGTAGCTATCCTCCTCCGTCCGTGGATACGTGTTGGGATGGCTGGACAAGCACTGATCCGTATGCCGGGTAGCTGGGAGCGGGAGGGGAGATGCAGCTCTGTGCAACATACCTACCAGACCAGCGGACGTATCAAAACGCACCGTACTTCGTACAATCCTGGGCATGCGCGTCGATCAAGGAGAAGGGGAAGGGAAAAGGGTGCATATGATGAGTCAAATTACGTCTGAGAATCAGGTACGGACGCACTCCCTCCAAGCCAGCTTTTCATCTGGTCCAGTTACTGGCTCGAGGCGTCGGTAGGGTGACGTACGGCGTGTCGGTAGTTGGCATGGAAGGCTTTGATCGGCGCCCCCAAATCAGTGAGGCGGAAGCCAAATTGATCGTCGCCGGTTCGGCCACCAGAGCGAGACGAAGCAAAGAGCTCCCATGCTGGATGCACAAAACTAGGTAGGTGACCGATGATCGTCGGGGTGCCTGGGGCTCCATGGCAGCATGGATAGCATGGATAGAGGTAGGGGGAGCAATGATCCATTGGCACCAGCTGAGGTCCGTGTCAGCAGGCAGGTAGCAGCACGACAGAGAGGAACCTGCAGCGGATAAAACGCCCTTTCGCTAAAGTTATCGATATTGGGCTAGCAGCCATTTAAAACTCATGGATGTTGTCATCGAGCCCGCATATGACCAGTCGCCGTGTTGAGCAGAGGAAGGAAGCTTCCCTCACCAGCTCCGGACGTGCCTGCCCGCGTCATGGGGACGAAAAAGCAAATACAGGCAGAGAAACAGCGAAGAGCCCAAGCAATTACCTGCTCCGTCTGCTTCCCCACAGCTGCAGCATCGGCATACCAACCAGAGGGCCAATAATGCGAGGTTATGGCCTATAGCAGCGCTTCACTTAAGTTCCTAGTTGATCATGTGGGATTGCAATCTCATGCCTTGCGCTGGCGTAGTGTGAACGGGGAATATCTGCATGTTTGCTTTTTCCTGCCCCTAGAGGGTGGCAGGAGGTAACCAGCGCAATGGTAGCAAGAGGTGACGATCTTGCGTCCAGCCGCATCAGCCTCACTTTTGTTTTCTGAGGGATCATCATCTTGCTTCGCGGAAGCATCTAACTGATATCCCGCCCCGCCCTTTTTTCCTCCACCCTCCTTTTCTGAAGCGGACGAATAGCCCCCGGATAGGAGGAGAGAAGGGAAAAAAAGAGGAAAAGAAAAGAAAATTAACACTGGGAAAAACGAACATCGAAAAAGAAAATAAAAAGGGGAGAAGATGCCAGTACACCCTTGCGAAAAGGATAGAGCTGAGCGGCCAACCCCGGCGCCCCCAACCAGATATGCCTACATGATAGCCGGGCAGTTTCTCATGATCTTCGGCCATCGCGAGCTCGCCGTAGATCGTCGACCAGGGGGTCCGTTGAGCCAGGGCGTCGGGGTGCTTGGGTGCTTAGCCCAGCCGTTGCTGGCATTCATCCAACCCTGTCGGAGCGACGGCCGCCGCTGGAGCAGGGATGGCATTTCAAAACCCAATTTTTCCGCTCGAAAACGAGGAGAAGAAGAAAATAAAAGCGGTCTCCGGAAAATTGAGAGCTGAATTCGACTGGACTGGCCTGAACTTGCCGCTCACGTTTGCCAAGGGGACGAAGGACAGGTTAGAGAACCCATGCTCATTGGGCATGACTGCATTGCATGCCTACCACGTTGGCTGGACGGGGTGGTAAATTCATCCATTTTGCTCTGCTTGGGCATTGATCATGATTATGTTCTTTTCTTTTTCCTCCTTGGCCTTTCCCAAAGAGGGCCGTAAACACACACTCCACCCCCATATATAGGTTATATCATGAAGTAATATGATGGATGCCACGTTTGGCATACACACGGAGCATGTGGCCGTGCACATCCGGCCGGGTCTTTGAAGCCTCTTTGCTTTTCCCACAGCCTGGGCAGAAACTCCCCCCATCCAATCCGGCTGTTCTGGCTCAGATGCGATGTCGAAACCCGGGTGAGACGCAGCAGACGAGACCTGGGGTTTTATTTTGGGAGGGTTAGGTAATTACCCAGGCGATAGTCGCATCAAACAGCCCCGTACCTCATCTCATCATTTGACCAAAATCAATTTTCTTCTTGCCTTTTCCCCCCAACATGCAGGGCTCGAGACCAGCCGCGCGCAAAACAGCGACGGGAAGGATAAAAGATGAATAATCTGAAACTCGGTGCCCAAGCAGAACACAATCAAAGAGGCAGTCAGAGCAGGTAAGCAATAGAAGCCGGGGCCCTGGGCATCGAGACTGGCCCATTCCGGCTCCTTGTAAAATTGGCCATCTACCTTTGATTCGTCAACGGCGGATAAGGGATATAGAGAAGACGAGGCAGAGGGATCAGCAAGGCCCCGTCTGGGTAGGTAATGTAGCATCCAATACCACTTGCCCATGGCCCCCCCCTCCAGCTTTTAGTCTCGTCCTGGACCGGGCTAATCAACTGCATGCCACACCGGCTGACCCAAGCACTCGGATTCAGTAGTGCCAAGAAACGGCCGAATAGCTGGCTGGCTGCCCTCCCTTGCGCATGTGTGTGCGTGCTGCCTCTGCTGTCTGATTTGCCTGCTTATTTTATCTCCTCGTAAATCACACCCCCCTCCCTCCCCATCCCCAAACTCTCAGCCGCGTGCTCATTAGCGGCAACCGCTTCGAACCCTTTCGCATTGCGAGAGGAGCCCATTGTTGCTAGTCCTTGCTCTGGGGCATGTAATTGGCAAGGCGAGCGAGATAGGTCGATCAATGCTAGCTCCGACCAATGGGGTATCACCCACGGTAGCACACAACAGCATGGGCAACAGTCGGGCTCTTGATTTCCCATCTCAACAACCAGGGAAAGGAGGTGGGTGGGCGCAAAGATCCCCGTGTGCTTTCACTGCCCTTGCCACGACGACAAAACTCATCCAGTGACATGGTCGATACCTCCTGCTGCTACCCTACCTGCTTGAGACAGAGCAGCAAGTAGGACAGAGACACCATCCATCCTCCCAGGCGCACTCACTGGCTGGGGGCGGGGAGACTGCGCGCATAGCCGAGTCAGTCAGAATGTGATTGCTCTGTTGCGGTACAAGTGGGATTCAGTTAGTTGCACATCCCAAATCCCTGTAGGCCGTGCGGCGCATGTAGAAATAATGGCTGGTCCAGTCTGTGTAACGTCCGTGGAGGGTGACTGCTGGGAACAGGAAGCAATTGCAGCAGGCTGATAGGCCAAACGGGCAACGGCAGGCGGAATTGGGTTGATTCTGCTCGACTATGCACATGATTCTGGAAAATGAAGCAATCAATCCGTTCCCATTGGCTTC